TTCTCTCTAGTAGAAACCATCCCTAACACTGAGTACCTCCCTCACCTTCCTCTGTCGCCCGCTGTCTCATGATCTCCCTTTCTCTCTCTTTCTCGCTCTCTGCTCCCCTGACTACTTAATATTTACATAAACAATTTCCCTGGTTTGTTTACAATTGAGTTAATTTTTGTGTAGAGCTGCTTACATTAATGGGCGCAGATTTTGATGATTGCCTTGAAATAGTTCTAGAATAGTATAGAGGGTCTGCATAGATGACAGCGATCTGGAACATAGCTTAAATAGGTTTTATGAGAAGAAGAATAAGCAGAAAAGATGACTCAATGCGATATATGTACACATACATATGTATAAAAGCTTAAAAGATCTATAGACTCAGAGATATTTAAAAAATGAGGATGGTGAGAGAAAGAGAGGGTGAGAGAGATAGATAGAGATAAATAGATATAAATAAATATAAATACATAAATAGATAATAGATATAGATAGATAAGTAGAGAGGGGGACATAGAGAGAGAGAGAGACAGAGAGATAACGACAGAAAGAGAGAGAGACAGAGAGTGAGAGCGAAGTTAGACAGAGAGTAAGAGGAAGAAAACTAAACACACACACAGAGAGAAGTAGAGAGTCATACTAACTGCATACAGTCATTCCATATATATTTATACTATATTTAAAATCAATACAATCTACATAGTATATAAAATGCTCGTAGCCTCAGAACAATATTCTTTACTATATATGCATACTATACTATATATGCAATATATTCATTTCCAAGTATTAAAGGTACAGACATCTGACATCTCTGTATATATATTGTATATAGATATATGTACATGTATATATAGAGACTCGTACAACTCGCCCGGAACAGTGTCCAAGATGTCAAGAGAATTATCAGGTTGATCGAGTTGTCGGTGCTCAGTCTGTTGGCTCGCAACATGTTGGACGCGAGGCGGCAGCGTGTTGGCCTGAACTTTGACACGACTGCAACAGGTTGGTTGCCCTCGGCAGCATCTGCCTTGGCTCATGGCTCGGGGCTCAGGGCGCAAGTGTAATCAAATGGCGGCATTCTGTCAGTGGCGACTTGGCGCAGCTGTTTCGCCTGTTTCCATCTAATTGGAGCTGGAGCTGCTGCAGAGGCAGACTCGTGCTGCCAAGAAACCCCTTCGGCAACACATGCGAGCACTCGAGCCTGATAAAGGCCCAATGCAAATACACTTACTTCCGATACTTTCATCGCAATTCAGCATTAATTGGCTGTGAACAAAGGCGTGTGCATTGCTTTGCCGTAGGCCATACGTACGTACATACGTATGTAGGTACGTGTATTGGAATCCAGTTGCAGTGATTGCCCAAGTGACATCACCGACGGTTACGAGTTATTTAGAAACAAAATAAACAATTTGCCGCACTAAAAAATTGAATCAGGTATTGTTGGCACTTTTCCATTTAAATATTTAGCAAGCAATTAAAACAGAAGGTGTTCCCGAGACGGACTGTTGCAAATTCAAATTCTCATTCACATTCACATTCACATTCACACTGATATTCACCTGCCCCCGGTCACGCCCTACTCCTAGTGGCTGTGGGACAATTGACAGCTTTAGGTCAAAGATCGGCAGCCACAAGAGCGTGATCCGCTCATATATCACCATCGTATCGTATCTAGAAGTATGTATGTATGTATACAAACATATCTGGTAAAGCCTGTCGAATTACTCAAATCTGTTCTCAAGCTGCAAACATTCAGCTGTTACTTCCAGAATGCTACGCTCGACAATTAGTTTACACAAATATTTTATCTGGCTCTGCAGTATCAATGCACGAATATATTTCATATGTGTATATATTCATATGTGTATATATAATGAGAATCGATTGTAAAGATCGAGTTGCAATTATTTCGGCCGCACCCTCATAAACAAATCAATGTTTACTTATCGAATGATTTCAGCTGTACTCACAAAGTAAACAACGCCTTGGATACGCTTAACTCTTGGAGTTTGTCAGCTTCTGTGAATGATTAACTCGAGTTTAATGCTAGTGCTACTTATTTATGAGTGACTAAGTCGGCTATCGACATTCACTCAGAGTCATTTAAGGTCCTGACAACCTTTTTAAATATATCTTTTTAATAATATACATGCCATATATATGGATATCTGACAAATATCTATATATCATTAGAGTTGTTCTAAGAGGTATCTATCGATATCTTGGAAACGTTAAGTCGATGTTTGAGGTATCTATAGATAGTTTAAGATCTTAGAAATATCTATTGATATCTTGAAAACGTTAACAGTTAAGAATTGATCTGAGAGATATATATAGATATCTTGAAAACTTTCAGAGTTGATCTAAGACATATCCATAACTATTTTGAAAACGTCCATTGTCCATCGAATTTATAGCTTTCGTATAACTAGCCTTTGACATGACTATTTCTTAAATTAAACGAAAGCTTAATTCCTATCAAGACCTGCAACCTTTAAGAAAGTTTCACAGATATTCCTTGACAAAGCTTTTTCTCGTCAACTTTCGACATGTACTTAAAGAGCTTGACTCATGTAGTGTCAAGCCTGAGGTGCAAAGGTAGCTTTTGAAGGTCAATTGATGCACCTGTTGATCGCATGCCAAATGGAATGCATTCCCAATTAGATGTCGCGTGGCTTATCTCATCTATTTATAGCCGTGTTTTTAGGGCCCTTTAGTCGCCATTGCATGCGGTCAAATAGTTGTAAAGTTCTAGAGCATGACATTACGAGATAGTTAACCATCTACATGCCAGTTACGTGTATTTGGCATGCGCTCGAGTTCGTGTTTCGGCAGTTAATTAGCACTCGAGCTGCGCGCAGCGCCATCTATGTGTGAAAACAAAGTCGCTGCAGCGAGTCCAAAGCTCTTGCATGGAAAGCTGCAGCTGCGGCGAGTGATTTTCGATGCGGTGTGAGCTTTAGCCGAGCTTTTCACCGAGCTTATGCTTTGCAGGACGAGCAGCTTTAACAGAGTAACATTAAAGCTCCAGCCGACTGTTAACACACTGTTAACATTACTCATACGGCGCGTGTTGCAGTTCATTTAAAAAATATATATATATATAAAAAAAAAAGAAACGGCAAATTTGTAATATAAGGAAATCGTTTTCTTTATTTATGTGTTAATGCTGACGCCTTCAGTGGGCACTCGCTTAAATTTAATGTAAGTAATCGTTACAATTATTAATTAAATGTGTATTTTGTCTGTTATTCATAATAAATATTTAATTAAAATACGAGTATTCTCAAACGTAATATATTGTTATACATTCGCTAATCGTACGCTAATGACAAAAAACACTCACACGATTATCTAATAATAAAAAGACGGCTCTGACCGAAAGAATGTTTCCAAACACAACAACAACAGAATCAAAAACCAAATTATGGAAAAATCGTCCTTTTTTTGCATATTCTATTTTTTCTTTTTTAATTATTTTTAAATTTTTACAATATTATAATCCGTTACTTGATTGCGGTTTTTGTGTCTCTGATTGTTTCCGGTTTGGTTTCATTTTTTGTTTTGTTTTGTTTTTTTTTTTTTTTTTTTTTTTTTTTTATATAATTATATATTTGTTGTTGTAATATTTGACAGCTACGCATAACTCTAGCATAGTTGATTATTAAATAATAGTTCGAGAATTAGTTTCCGCTCACATATGCATATACAGAGGACATATGTGTGCGCATGTATACATGTATATATATACATATACATTTGTTTATATATATATAGTTATATGTATATATATAGTTTTTAGTTTTTCATTTATTATTATTTAAAACATTTTTGTAACATTTAATAAATTTAAACATTGATTGCTCTTGCGTTATGATAATAGCTTCTATATATGTATGTATGTTTGCATATATATATATAAATATTTTAGCGCTCTTTCCATGTGATTATCCTTGAACAGGCTCTAAGGTATTCCAGTTCGACTTTTGCACTTGTGTGTGTGTGTTAGTATGTGTGTGTATGTGTGTGTGTGTATGTAGGTATGTATGTTTCTCTGTGCTTATGCATATATATTTATGTTTAAAAATAAGTATATTCTTTTATATATTCTCCTTTTTTTTTTTTTTTTTTTTTAGTTTTTCGTCGTCCAGCGACATTTTGTCAATTCTTCAAACAGTTGATAAACTCCTTGCCAGAGGCATTCCGAGGACTAACTTTAGGTACAGTGAGCACTGCTATTGAATGTTGAATCGAATTAGTTGATTATTGATTATCGGAAAAGCGAGAAAAGCATTTCATTCATTCCTTCGAGGAGAGCGGCATAAGTAGCATTATGTACAAACTAAGCTAATGTTGCATGCAACTTAAACGAATTGACGAGCTGACACACACATGTGCCCTAATACCTAGACACGTGCTCCGACTCGTTTTACATACATGCACAGATGTGTGCATGTATATGTGTGCGCATATATATGTACTTATATGTATATATATAGAGATATATCGAAATGTATAAGTGTTTGGCTATAGGCGCTGAAACAACATCAAGACTAATTAGAGAAAAATCTTTATCGAACTTGCAACATCTCAAGGTGGCTTAGATGCTCTGGTGTAGGTGTATGGGTGTGTGGGTGTGTGGGTATGTGGTGGGTGTGGGTGTGGCAGGTATTTGGAGGCGTGCATCGAACTACCTGCCTGCTGACCTGCTGGGCTGGGCAGACAGCAAGCCGAGTTCAATGATCGTTATTATTTGAGTGATTGACTCGACTCGACTCCGACTCGTTCAATTTGATTTGATTGTTACGCTTGCACTACTTGTTGCCTGCCAATCGCTTAAGTCTAACAATATATATATGTATATCTATATATATATATATATCTGTAGGTATATATATAATATAAAGTACGCGTAGGTAAATTAGTTTTCGCTATTTGTTGTACATAGGTGTAAAGTTCTTAGGTACATGGTACATTTTAACTCTCGTATTCATTTTTTTAAATTTATTTTTTTATGTTTGCTTTGTGAACAGACTCACAACTTGCTACGCTCTAATAAAACGTTAATAACACACTTTAAGGGTTCTTCTTCTTCCAACTTGCTGCGCTATTTGTAGCATTACGATTACAATTATTAATTATTACGGGAAAGTACACAGATACCGATTTGTGATATGCCAAACAGAATTGCTAAATACTTTTGCATTCCATTAGATGCCACAAATTTCAATTTTCAATTTTCAATTCATTTTTTGTTTTCTTTTAATTATTACAATTTCTGTTCAACTCTCGTTTTTCTTTTCTTTTTTTTTTTTTTGCCGTCTGTCAACTCGTTTTCATTAGCTTTGTTATTCTCTTATTAGGTATATATGTATGTATATATGTTTGGCGTTTCGTTTCGGAATTGAAACAAACACCTGAGGCTACAAAATTACTGCAAGTGTTTTGCTTGCTATTTGGTGGTGTGCATGTGTATGTGTGCATGTATGTATGTGTGAGTGAAGGACCCGTTTCAAAAGTGCGAGAGATTTTGATTGAGAGAGTGGCATAGAGTCTCATATGTTAAGTTTACCTGGTGGGTTCTCAAGCGGTGGTTATTTCAATTGTGGTTTCTGTCCGGGCTGTCTGATTATTGAGCAACAACAACACAGCCGATAAATGCGCCGACTCACACATACGCTAACAATTCTCAATTCCAAACTCAAATGAAACTAGGAGGAGTATTCGGCAGTCGGATACTGCCGACAGAGCAACCTGCACAAATATTTTCCCTCTACATTATTAAAGAGAATTAGTTTGTCATTTTATAATTACTATGGAATTACTTTTGAGTATTATTTTGAATGAGAGCTGTAAGTGTTGTCGAATCAATAATGAATATAAATTATAAATATTTGCATAATGTTTGCAATTAATGAATAAATTCAGAGAGGTCTATCAATTGTCAAAAAGAAATTGATGTGGCACGAGCGAGAGCGAGGGAGAGAGAGGTGGAGACAGAGATTTGCCAATTGAAATTGCATTTTGATTGTCGTAATTAGTCAGACAGAGACAGAGAGAGGGAGAGAGAGCAATGGGAGCCAACACATATTTCAATTAACGGCAGTTCGCCCACATGAAATTAGCTTTATTGGGCTGCAAATGAGGCTGAGGCTGGCTTTGCTGAATGCAGATGGATGAGTGGTTGGGCTGGCTGACAGAGTGGTTGGGCTGGGTGTCTGCCTGGTTGAGTGGTTTATCAGCGCGAACAGCGTTGTCCATTAAGAGCGACATTCGCATTCGCATTCGCATTCGCATTCGGCATTCGGCTTTGGCATTGGCATTGAGGCCTTGTCCCCATACAACTGGTACGCCATGTGGGCCTTGTGGGCCACGTGCAGCAGCCGACCATGAAATGCAACTGCGTATGTCTTACAATGTATTCAAGTGTGTCCGCTTCTATATATATGTATACAAATATTTTTGTATATAGATGTCCTTGAACTGTTGCGTCCTTGGAGTCTGCTGTGTCGAGGCTGTGCACATTGCGAACTCGTGTCACAGTTCTAAATCCTAAACGACTCCAGTTGCCATTCAAGGGCGCATGGAGCGGGCAATTAGTGCCACCAATCAGCAAACAGCAAACGGCAAACGGTAAACAGCAGCTTCAATTGCAAATCAACGTCTACTTGGAGTGCTCGGGCTTGGGAAGTGAACTGGAAGTGGAGCAGTTGCTGTCGCTAAAAATTGCCAAACTTCGCCTGCAAATCAAACTGCGCGGAACAACTCGCGCGACACGTTGCTGTCCCTTTAATGGGAATTGCTAATTGCTGCAGTTGTTTTCAGTTTTTCATTGATATGGCAAACGTTGCGAATTGCTTCTACCCAGGTGGTGACGATGTGGTGCAAGTGGTGCATGGAGAGAGATCGCATAACGGCAGCAATATCTGTCTTAGTTGGGGATACTTCCCATGCCCATTTGCTTTGTTTGAAAATATGTACCTGATTTGAGTGAGGAATTCCACTGGATGGGTCTTCCCAATCATGAATACCTAGAGTTGACTGACTAATTGCTTTCGTGGAATTTAGTTTCTCCTTAGATGCATGATTAATGAAGTTCAAATTACTGAGTGAGAGAATCTGCAGCAATAAGAGCGCTAGTTCGGGTATATCCTAGTCGAATACTGTTCTTGTTTATTTCCTTTGACGGGGGCAGAACTATTTGCCTATGAGACTGTCTCCCTCTCTCTCTATGTTGGGAGAAGAAATGTGAATTCGAGTCGACAGATCTCGATAGATATTTCTTAGGATTAGACTACTCCAAGTCAGATGCTGTCCTTGCTTATTTTTATTGAGGTGTTGACTAATTTGGCTGGCAAAAAAGGCGGAACTGTTGGGTGGGAAGTATTGATAGGACTTCCCAAATATGGATACAATATCCAGGATACTTAATGGAAGGTTTACTTTAAAACCAACATTTGCTAACTGATTGACTGCTAATATAGATAATAATTGATGTCAATTGGTTACTGAATGGGTATCTAATAGTCGGGTTGTGTCGTTGGCAGGCTTCATTGCTGCATTGCTTTGGCTGTTTTCCCCCTGGCCCTGTCCTTCGAATTCTGCTCTCACTCTACGTCTACCTCGCCCTGCCCTTCTGTCTTACTCTCCTTGGCTCCCTTTCTCCTTCTCTCTGTCGCTGTCTCTATATCTGCCTCTCTCTTTCTCTCTGCCTCTGTTTCTCGCTTCCTGCCGCAGTTTCATTTTCAACGTTTACGTGATGCGGCTGCCATTTTCATTTTCATTTTGACAATTGCGGTTTGTTTGTTGATTTTCCTATGCGTTGTCGCAGCAAAAAAAAAAAAAAAAAAAACAACAACAACACGAACAACAAATATTGAATTTTTTGCACTTTGGTGACAGATACAAATGGAGGGAATGAGAGCGAGCAGCTCTGGATGTGCTGTTATTTTGGAGGGGGGCTGGGTTTCTGTGTGTCTGTGTGTGCGTGTATGTGTGTGTGGGAGGAGTCGATAAGAACGAATTATTAAACAGCCTGCGCTCATGTCAATTGTCCAGTTGCCCGTGAATTTGTTTCGCACTGAATTTCGAGCGCTTGCGCCGCTTATGTCTGAACGGGCACGTTGCTGTCCGCCTCCTGGAGCACGGGTGCCGTCCAGACTCCGCTGCCGCTGCGCGTCTTGCGCTGCTGCACGATCCCGTCCATGATGTCCAGCTGCAAGTTGTGTATGCTGCCGCGATGATCGGTCAGCGGCGGGCCACCGATGCCGCCGATGCCGCTGCCACGACGACTTCCGCTGCAAGAGAGAGAGAGAGAGAGAGAGAGAGAGAAAGAAACGTGAGTCAGTTATATGAAATAGATCAACAGAAGAGCTGCCTTATCCACAAGAGGTGCGCAACAACAGAGCTATTTATACTGGGAAAGAATCCTAATTCATCGAAGAGCTAACTACTGGGGCTTCATTTTAAGTTAGCTTGAATTTTTTATAAACTCCTATAGTCTTATAAATGTATAAATGAATATCAGTGCGAATTGCAGACTAAGTGTCATGCAGTACTAACCAGAGAACCAGAGAGAGCAGAGAGCAGTGAGAGAGAGAGAGAGAGAGAGAGCAAGAAAAAAAAGTGAGCGTAGAAGAACCTTTTGTTCAATATTTGACCATCTCGGTCGAGCGCATGAAGCGAAATGATTGTGCTTTCGTATGTTCTCGTAGCCCGAACCTGAAAGTGAAGAGCCGAGCAAATACGAAGTGGTCTGGGAGATAACTCCCGAAAAAAAGAGTGCAAAACGCTTTACACTACTTGTCCGGTCTATGTGTTCTATGATTACTGATAGCAACCTTGACTCCAACATCTACGTTTTTATACCCTGAACCCATTGAAAATGGGAAATCAGGGTATAATGGTTTTGTGAAAAGTATGTAAAAGGCAGAAGGAATCATCGCAGACCCCATAAAGTATATATATTCTTGATCAGGACGACGAGCTGAGTCAATATAGCCCTGTCCGTCTGTCTGTCCGTCCGTCCGTCCGTCCGTATGAGCAAAAGGATCTCAGAAGATATAAGAGCTAGAGAGCTGAAATTTGGCATGTATACTCGTGTATACCATAGGCAGTACGAGTTTGCTTTATTTTTTCGATAACTCATCCGATAACTTTTTTATCGAGAATAATCAAAAAATCGACTTGGTTTTTTTCAGCCTAATTTTAAGACTTTTAGACCTGCAGACTTCAAATTTGAGTTGTATATAAAGTTAATGGAAACAAAGATTTTGTAATTTACAGATTTTGGATACCACGCCCCATTCGCCCCCAATTTGTAAAAAACGCATTTCAAGCATCTCAAGTAGAGACTTGTGCTTTGGAATGTACACACATTTTAACCATATGATTACGCTCTTAAAGTTTCATTAAGATTGTACGTCTAAAAAAGAAATTATTCAACAAATAAATTCTCATAATATTGCCCACATTGCAGCGCAGCCCAAGCGCAGTCGCTGCTAACTGCGCAGTCAGCAGAGCGCGTGCTTATAAGTGCATTTTTATGAATGTGTGCATAAAAGAATTCCAGACTGATTAGAATATCAGCTTGGAGGGTTCAGAGTATCTCCCAGTCGAGCAGTCTCGACTGGACCCTTCTTACTTGTTTCTGATTACACTCTATTTTATTGTTCAGTTTTTTAGTTGATTCTATGTTGATAACTGCCTATCAATGAAGTCTATGCTAAGAGAATATCAAGCTAGTCTGGAAATTCCATTTTTCAATAGTAAAGTAATCCTCATCACGTAAACTAATCTTACGTCAACAATTGAAATTTGATGAGCTTTGCAGTAAATTAAGAAAATAAAATAACGTCCTAGTAAGGTAATATATTATTATATAACCATGCATATATGTTCCAGCTCGTTTCTCTAATAGAATATTTAGATAGGATCACATGTCTACATCCTTATCACGATATGCCCTCTATGTACATGACTTGATATAGACAAGCAAAAACTATCCCTTAAAAGTTTCCTTAAGCAAATTATTGATATATTTAAGATAAAGTCTGATTAGCTCCTAACAATCTTCAGAATCTGAACATCTATGTACGTTCGAGATATTATGAGCGGAATAGTCATCGATCAGATGATACTGGGAAAGATCGGAACATTTTGAACTAACTGATATGAAATGAACCTGTGTCCCATATATTTGATATATTTGTCGATACCATGTTTACTTTCATCTCAATCGATATATTTATCGATAGCTTGTGCACTTGAAGAGGCAAATCAAATATATTCCTGAACTAAGTCATTTTTCCGTGAGCTTTAATTGGCCCCGTATGTTGGCTCTATTATGTGATCCAGCTAACTAATGGATGGTATTATTGAATGCTTATGGCAAATGCTTATCGGACATGGGCTGGGCTCCTTTGGCAGGAGCGCTTACGCTTGGTTACATTCGGCACGAGCTGAAAAGGTTAAAGCAAGCAGGAAATCGGAAAAATTGTTGCTGGCACAGCACAAAAGCATTGGCCAGCCGGCGGCACAATTCAATTAGGCGTGGGTCAAAGAGGCCATGTCCTGCGAATGTCCTTTTTGCCACGGCCATTGCCGTTGCTGCTGCCACTGCCATCTGCGTGTGCGCCGGAGATGCGGGCTCTCGGAACGCTAATGGCGCACAAAACTTCCAATTACTGCATAAAGTGGCTCGGCTGCGGCTGCGGCTGCGGCGAATAAAAATGTCATTTACCTGAAGGAGACGGCGGAAATAGACTCGCGCCGATTGCGTCCGAAAAGCGTGGGCGGCACTGCCGATATGGTGACCACGGAATGGCGGCGTCCGCCTGCGGTCGGGTTGGTCTTCTGCGAGAGCGTGGCCAAAAACTCGACTTCCTTGGGGCTGAGGCCGCCCGTTTCGCCGCCCACCTCGGACAGCCGGCGCACCTGGCTGGCGGTGATGCCCTCAGTGATTTGCAGCGAGGGCAGCGAGTGCTTGCGCCGCTGCTGCATGTCGGGGAAGGGGCACAGCAGGTACGGGTTGACCGGCGAGTCCGGCTCCGAGTCGTCGCTGTTGCTGCGCTTGCTGGTGCTGGGATCGCAGCCGCCGGCAGCGCCCTCCAGCTCCTCGCCGTCCTCGACGGCGTGCGACTCCTCGACGACTATCAGCGGCTCTTGGGTGCTCAGGTTGAACACGGGCGTGAACGAGGAGCGACGCATCTTGCCTGGCCTCTCTGCTCCGTCGACGTATCTGCAACGACACCAGAAGCCACAGTCAATCAGCAGCCAAAGAACTTTCCAACAAATTAAAATGAGCCGCGCAGCTGAGCTCTCCTCTTTCACTCTGCTCGAGCTGCGCGTGCACGAACTTTGTCCACTTTCATTCTTTCTGTTTTCTTACCGATACACACACACACACACACACACACACACATACGTATGCCACCCAGCCACGCCCACATGAATTGATTGTGTGCATTATGTAATTTGACAAACGGAGAGCCAGAGCCCTGCAATTTGTTGTGCGGCATCAATTCGAAATTTGTGGGCGTTTGTTTGGCTATGCTATGAATATGCAAATATTTTGAGTTCATTCAAAGTTTTGCAATTAAACGAGCTTCAACTTTTTATTTTTCCACTTCTTTAGACAAGCCCCAACAATCAATTGATGTTGATTTCCTTTATTGATTTTTAATATATGCCCATACAAATTTACATATAAATGTACATATACATATATATTTATGTATATGTAAAGGCCACAAGGCAAAGAAAGTTTAGTTGGTAACTAGTTTAAAAAGTTTTAAGCAGTATTGATAGAGCATGTTTCGACTTTTGAGGAGTTCACATTCAGTAATCAAGCACTTTAAAGTTCATTATACTCATTCACAAAGCGAAAGGGTATATTCCTTCAGTGCAATTCCCGTCCGGCTACACACTATACTACACTACACTACATTACACTACACACGCTATATACACTCAGGGAAATTCTATTAAAGACACAATTCAGTAAAGTCGAAGTTTTTATAGTCTATAATAGATTTTTATACTCTAAACTCATTTTTACATATGAAACCGGCAGAAGGGCAAGCAAGCAGAAGGAGGCGTGGCAGACACCATAAAGTCCATCCGTCAGCCCGTCCATCCGTATGTTTGAGCGTCAGAAGATATAAGGCTAGAGACTTTAAATTTTGCTGGTAGGCTCGTGTATATAGCTCTAATCGAGCTGCCAAATTTTAAATAAAAATTCGTGAGTAATTCATAGAGTATCGAGTATACTGTGTGTGTGTGTGTGTGTGTGTGTGTGTGTGTGTAGCATAGAATTAGTGGAAAAAATCAGCGGACCTCATAGTCGGGCAGTCTCGACTATAGCACTCTTACCTATTGAAATATTGAATAACAGATATCTAGAATCTTTAATGTAAGAAAAATAACCAAAGCACCCAAGAATCAACCAAGAATGTTTTGCCCATGCATACTGGGGCGTGACAAATCGGGACTTTTCAACAGGTCTTCAGATGGAAACTTAGGAATTATTATCTTCTATAATTTTCTATTTATATGCCCTTTTTTGGGCGTGGTAAAACCAACCACAGAAATAGATATCTTCCAACATTATGGAATCTCCCAAATGGAATGGAGACTCCTTTCAGACTCCATTACCAACATCGATGAAAGTGTTTTTTGGACCATGATTGAGTATTACGATGCTTAAGAATCAGAGACTTGCCCAGAAATCAAGCGTCCATCAAATGGTTAACGTTTAATTGCAAAATTTTCCCACTCCTGAACAATTTTAGATAAGCTGTCACTCCGTTACACAGTTAGCCAATTATTCAATCAATCTGTCTGTGCGAATAAGTTGTGGAAGCTGTCTAATAGAGGAACTCGTTGTGAGTGAGGGTAACAGAGCTGTCGCATTGTCGGAAATGTCGATGGAGTCGATAAATATGTGAACTTAGCTACCTGCGGCTGCTTACAGGGTATGGCCAAGCGAGCAGAAATCCAAATCTATTCTGAGCCATTTGAGAAAATGGATCGACTGCTGTGTCGCTAGCTAAGCTCTTCTGGTGGCACGAGACCCTCGATCGTGAAGCCTTTTCCATTAGAATAAAGCCAAGCTTCTATTTGGACATAATCTGCGCAAATGCTGAGCCCCAAACAATGCATAATTACTGCCTCGATTGCCTGCGAACGATTCGTTTTCAATTAGCTAAATGTATTCAGAGGGCTCTCGCACGGAACAAAACCCTTTTTATTTTGTTGAGGACAATGGCAAATGAATGCAAGCATAATTAAATGGGCCACCTCCGGACGCCAACCAGCCAGCCAGCCAGCCAGCCAGCCAGACAGCCAGGCAGCCAGAGCGTTTTAAACAACAAATATTTGCATACTTTTAGGTGCTTAGTCCAAGCCAAAGCAGCATAGACATTGCGCATACGCTCAGTAGTCCAGCAGTGCTTGAAGATAACTGATTAGAGCTAAATTTATGTATATATTATACATGAAAAATTGTTAAGTTATCCATGAGAGAGAGAGAGAGAGAGAGAGAGAGAGAGAGAATATGAGAGAGAGGGAGGAAGACGTAGATGACAAAGATAAAAATACTTTTTAGCTAGATTGCTTTTATTAAATAAGAAAAGCGTCTTGCGAACGCTAAGGGAGATTCCTATATATATATATATGTGTGTGTGTGTTACCTTGAAATCGAATTTGGCTAGGAAATCGATTGGAAGACATTCGAGACCTGTGCGAAGAACTTTGAAAGTGCTTCATAGTTGACTGCACTTTTCATTAATATAACACGAGCACACCCTATGCCTATGCGCGTCTATAGGGTGCTCGACACTGAGTGACATGTGTTGTGATTCCATACTAGTGTACATGCGTGTCTTTTCTCTCTCTCTCTCCTTCTCTCACTCTATCTCTCTCTCTCTCTCTTTGTGTGCCTTTGTATGGCAGCTTAATGCGTCTACTGGGCTTTGCTGCTGTGTTTTGTGTGTGTGTTGTTCACTGCTGGCGCCAACAGGCCGTCAACTCAATTGATGTACATCACACACACACACACACACATGTATAGGTTACACCTACAGTTGTGTATTTAGTGCTGACTTATCCATTGCCAAAATCAAAATAATGAGCACTATTAATAGCATCTGACGGACGATTGGCAGCGACTCATTCAACTCGAAGCCAGTCAAGGTACGTGAAAAACGTGTCACTTAATCAGCATTAAAGAGCGCAGCTACGTAATTAGCTAAGAAGCTGAGACACATACACACACACGTATACACAGTCGCACACTCACATACATACACACACTCACACAACTCACGCATCGAAATCAACAAATGAATACGTGAGCCTCACGTAAATCTCATTTAAATTTCTTTTTGGTGCACACAAAAATCGAAATCCGCAGAGTATGCTTACGTGTATGTACACACACACACACACACACATATTCAAACACATGTCATAGACATTGGGTTTAATACCAAAGCCCCAACAGGCGCAAAAACGAGAGACAATAACTGCTGAGCAATGGAAAGTGTTGAGACATGGAATACCCTGTAATAACTGGCATAAAAAGCTGCATTTCAGGCGATCTGGCATGACTCTTATGTTCCTAATCGATATATAGGTTGCCCATTCTCAACTCACCCATCTGTCATGATTTCTATTTTTTTTTTTTTTTTTTCTTAAGACAAACACAATTTGTTTGATCTTGACGATAATAATAATTTTATTTTATTCAAGTAGATTTGCTGACATTACTAAATATAATACCTCTCTTGAATATAATACCTCTTAAATTGACAGATATAGGGTTGCCAGATATATAATCATACGTATTCTCATAGGGAGATAATAAGAATTGCTATCCTTACTTTTGAGGCTTATGCAATATTATACATACATACATATATGCTAATAAATTATATTTATATATAATAAACTGAATCAAAATAATTGGAGATATACATAAATCCTTTATAATTTGACAACCATCGTCATAAACTTTTGCCTCCATCTTCAGACATTCATAATCAATAATTCAATATTTGACTGTTTCAATTGTAATCTAATTTTCTATTTGCATATTTCGATTTCCAAATATGTCTTTAATCCTTTAAAAATCTCACTTTAACATCTGCTCTTTACAGGATAGCGGAATACGCTTCATGTATATCTGCCATTAAGTTTTGTTACTCACAATTGAAAACAAACAAAACAATTCATAAATAATAATTTTCCCTTCGTCTGTCAGCTTCAATAGAAATTTTTGGTCAGCTAGTTTAGAGTCAGCATTCTTTGATTTTTCGTCTGAGGCTATAACGACATTTCTTCTCTTACTCAATTTTTTCTTAATGAGAATTAGTTTGGTGGCCTAGACATAAAAATTTGGTAGCTCTGGCCAAATTGGTTTGAATAATTCATAGAAAATTTATATGAAGACAATCAAAATTTAAGAAAAATATTTACTGCAGTAGAAGCTATTGAATATCGTAAAACAGAGTCTGCAAATAAGAAATTGTATGCCGATAGCTTAAATGAAAATACAGAAAATATTCGACATTGACGACAACTTGAACATGACCTACGTTGAGTCAAGCAATGCCAATGATTTTGTGACTATGAATCAGATTCCAATCCCAATAGATATCCCATTTCCCTAGGCTGACAACAGCATTTCGAGCTTCATATTCACTTTGGGGGTTTTGCTCTTGTGCCGTGCTCGATTTCAAATGTCAAATGTAATTTTCAAATTATTTAGGTCCACTTTAAACAATTAAAGCCAAGACAGGCCCAGATAATTTGCTTGAAATGTACATCATTAGGCCAGATTGGCATTGGACCCTTGCCCGCCTTGCCCGCCTTGCCCGCCTTGGCCGTATTATCTCTGCAGCCGCAGTACATACAAACGCGTGTTTATCTATGTGTGTGTGCGTGTGTGTGTGTGTGTGTGTGAGTGGGATACTAATAGCAAAACATGGCTTTCATATGTGCCGAGTCCCTTCAGGCCATTTAAGCAATTACAATCCCATTAGCTTCAACTGCTGCAGCCGCAAGTCTCTTGAAGACCGCAATTAACTGGAAGGCCATTACATAATACGAAATCATTGAAGGCTTGAGCTGCGGATAAGCTGAGCGTAAATGGATAACGGCTTCTATCCGAATCAAGATGAGCTTTTGTTAAACTGTTAATGCTTAAGTAAGACTTTTTGAGCAACTCATTTGCTCTTG